GATCTGCTATTACAAATTAAGTCCAACGAGAAGAGGATATCTGAAAAGCACAACTTCCAGAATCAGAAGCAACAGAACAGAAGTTAGCAGATCAATGTTGATTTATAATACAAAATAAAGTATTCACAGAAGTAGAATTGGAAGAATTGCAAAAGTATACCCAGGGCAAAGAAACTGAAGCCTTGCCAGAAGTAGCTCAGACTACAGAGGCAAACCCGGGGGAGTCGGCAGTAGAGGAAGTCAGCATAGCTGTTGAATTGTTTTCATTCCCAAACCAGGCACCCTCTCCTCTACCTTCTCCTCAGAAAGAACAAAACTAACTAAAAAACAAGAGGAACTGAAACAAAGAATAACTGAGCATCTAGAACAAAATAAGGTTGCCTGCATTGAAGCTTGTTACAAAGAAACAGCTAGCACAAGTATTAAAGGATGCCAATACTGTAATATCAAATATAAGCAACAGCTCATAGTAAGAAACAAACTAACTAATGTACTGCATGGCTGCAGTTATAACTGAATACTGTGGATGAAAAATCAACAAGCAAGAAAAAAAGCCAAACAATGCACCACCAAAATGGAAGATCAGGTTGGAAAATAAGATCAGCATGCTAAGATCAGATGCAAGCAACCTAGAACAGAAAAGAAGCTGAAGAACAAGAAGATCAAAGAATACCTGATCAAGAACTATCACCTAGAAACAAAGAAGATCAAAGAAGCACTGGAAATAATAAAGCAACAAATAACAGCCATAGCCAAAAAGATCAGCAGATACAAAGCTCGAATTGCACACTATAGGCAGAATGTCCAATTTCAGTCAAATCAAAAATGTTTCTACCTATCCCTCAATGGACAGACTGCAATGAACCAGTCAACACCTGATAAAGAAGAAACAGTGCAATTCTGGGCGCAGCTATGGGACAACCCAAAGAAATACAACAAGAATGCAGCTTAGATAAAGGAGGTAGAGAAAAAAAAAAGAAGAAGCTGAAATGAAAGAACTTGTAATAACAGCAGAAACGGTGGAGAAAAGGGCAAGGAAGATCAAAAATTGGTCAGCACTAAGTGAATATGAACTGCATGGTTTTTGGTTGAAGCATCTGACTGGTCTGCACCCACTCA